TCATCATCCTCACCATCATCATCATCATCCTCACCATCATCATCATCATCCTCACCATCATCATCATCATCATCATCCTCATCATCATCATCCTCACCATCATCACCATCGTCGTCGTCGTCATCATTGTAAACATCATTTAAGATATCATCATCATCATCAATGTCATCATCATCATCGTCGTCGTCGTCATCATCATTGACATCATTTTCTTCATCATCATCATCATCCTACCGTCACAGCTGTCAGCAACATCATCATCATCCGTTTGTTATTAGGAAAAAAAGATATTCAGCAACAAGAAAGAGTGACAAAGTAAGACAAAAAGAAAATTAGAGAAAGAAAAAGAGAGAAAAAAGAGAGAGAAAGAGAGTGAGAGAGAGACAGATGGAGCGGGGAGTTTGATGTTTATTATTTGAATGCCGTGTGAAGAATAAAGCTTCACAAAGTGTTATTCAAAACAAACAAATATTCATAGGAGGTAAGACTGATAGCGATTGAGAGAAAGAAAGGGAGAGAGCGAGAAAGGAGAAAAAAATGAACAAAGAAGAAGAAATTTGAAATGCGAAATTCTAAAAAAAATGTCAGAGTTGATAACTTACCAAAAAATTTTATTAGAAAGTTTTAACAAATTTTAAACAAATTACCACCATCATCAACATCACCACCATTTATAATCACCATCATCTTCATTAATATCAACATCATCATCAATATTAACATCACTATCATTATCATCATCGTCATCATTCCCATCAACATCATCATCGTAATCATCATCATCATCATTACTATCAACAGTATCATGATCATCATCGCCATCATCGTCATCGTCATCATCATCGTCGTCGTCATCATCATCCTTATCAGGTTTGGTTGGACCTGCTACCGAAAGCGTCCTTCCTGCATGGTTTCATGTACACTTCATTCTCTGGGTTCATCATCTTCGATTATTGATTGGTTCATCGACTGATTGTTTGATTGGCTGCCGATTGATTGGTTGAATAATGAGTTGGCTGATTGGCTTGATAGCGAATAATAAATTGGTTGACTGGTTGATTTGTTGGTACATTTTACAATCGGCTGATTTACTATCAACTTCGTTGATTGTCTGGCTGTGGGTTGATTTCTTGAATTACAGTTTAAATATTTTCGTGTAAGTTGATCGGTTGACCGATTGACTGGTTAGTTATTTAGTTGGTTGACTGACTGATTGGTTGGGTAATTAACTACTATCTTGACAAACTAGCCGGTTGAAAAATAAATTAATTGACTACTAGATCAATCTTCTGATAAAAATGATTAATTATAGAAAAATAATTTGATAAAAATTTCTTTTGAAGCTTTTAAATTATCCATTTGAAGTTTGTTCAAAGCTTCTCTGTAGAATCAACATTTAAACATACAAAAACACAGAAATCACACATAAACTCATAGACACACATATGAAGACACTTACAAACACAAATCCAATCCGCTATCCAATCCGCTACTTCGTTTAAAAACAACCCGTAGAAAAATTTTTATTAGCACATAAAATAATTAATGTAAACAAACATTTCCTACTCAGCCATGTACATAACATACTATCTACACATAAACGCACAGACACAACACACAAACAAACACACACACACGTACACTTACTCACACACACACTCACACATACACACAATGATAAAGCATTCTTACAAATAATTATGCATGAATATTTTCAATCACACTTCTACGTGAATGTTATTACTTACTTTACATATTACATTATATATATGTATATATATATATGTATATATATATATATATATACATATATAATGTACTAATGCATAATGCACATGTGTGTTTGCGTGTGTATTTCTACGAAGTAGCTTGTCACTGATGGATGATTGATGGATGGACGAAATGAAAGAATGAATGATTGATTGACGGATTGATGAATGAATTGTTTGAAACAGTCGTTCAGTTGCTCGTTCGTTCATTCATTCATTCATTCGTTCGTTCATTTAATCATTCATTCATTATTTGTGTCATCGATTACTGAATAATGAGGATAATTTTGAGGACATCTTTCATTCGTTTACTCTTTCTCATCTACTCCTACTACAAACAACAATTTCCGCACGCAGCAAACGCTACTACACTTGCTACCAATAACGATGACAACGATAATACTAACAAACAGTTGTAACGATAGTTATTGTATTATTATTACTATTATTAGTATTATTGCAGTAATCATAATTGAACAATATCATATTTGAACATTATATCATTAGTGATAATTATTATTTTTTGTTGCTTTTTATATTTTTATTGCTCTACAATGGCTGTTGTTGTTTGTAGAAGTAGAATTTCAAAACCAGGACACGTCATATCTTTCGTTCGATCGTTCGTTCATGGTTCGTTCGTTCGTGGGTTGTTCGTTTGTTCATAGTTTGTCTTGATCGTTCATTTGTTTGTTCATCAATGTTTGCTTGTTTGTATCATTTATAGTATTTTCATATGTATATTTTGTTTTCATGCTATTGTAATATTGAAATAATTTATTTTTGTGCAATTTCAAGATAACTTATGTATACATGTACATTTATCCGAAATAAACGTTGTTCATCATGTTCTTAATTACGTTAATTTATGAATTTTTTGGATTATTATTCAGTTTGAATAAAATAATTTATTTGTTTTTTTTTCAAAATATGGTTTCATTCAGTTTTTCAATAAAATCTAAAAAATCTACTGAATTGAGTTTCAATGTTTAAATTATTTAAATTAGAAATAATTTTTTTTGAAATGAGGTTTTATTTTCTAAGACATTCAATTTTATAAAGATGAAGAAGAGGTTTAAAAATGTTGGAGTCGGTTTGACGAATTTGTTTTTTTATAATTCTATTCATCTTTAACCTCAAACACGTCAATTCATTCATTCATTCGTTCGTTCGTTCGTTCGTTTTCATTCAATCTGTCATTCATTTATTCATTCAGTCAGTCTGTCTGTCATTCACTCATTTAAAAGTAGCAGTAGCAATAGTGAAAATAGTGGCAGTAAAAGTCTAAAACAAATAGTTTCTAAGTGACTCGTGTTGAGATCTATAAACGCCAGTCATAAAGAGAACACCAATAACTCCTTTTAACTCTTCAACATCTATAGTTTTCCAGGCATTCGCATTTTTATCTTTGGATTTTATTTTAAACAATCATTTGCAACAAGCATTCAAACGCATCTACTTCGTTTCCCATAATTTTTCCAGCTCCGATCGGACCCTCCTTGTTACGCTTAATGTATGTTTGCGGCTCTCACTCGAGAGATTTGCATTCCGTATTATACTAACTACCATCCTTGCTGATATGTGATGCCTGGTTGTGGATGTTATTTTTTGGTTGTTCTTCATCCTCATTGTCACTTGATTTTGATGAGTCGGTTTCATGTTTTTCAAAACTAATACTGGCGGTTTGTAAAGGAGTTGACATATCTTGATCAGAACCAATTGACTCAATAATGCTAGAGATTTCACTAGTTTCTGAGTCGGCGCTGTCTTCGTTTGTCACCCATTTACTAATTTGTTCTATAGCCTCCTTGACATAACCGCAACGTGTTATATTTATGAAAATATTTATATATAAATATAAATATAATAAATATAAATATTTATGAAAAATCAAAGTAAAACAATTGCATAAACAATTTACTATTCACTCTCAAAAAAATTTGCACGTCGCTTTTATAGCCAGTCGTGTTTCTAAATAAGTTGACGTAAGTTTAATAGGCAAGTCTTGTTAAATGTCTCACAGGCGATAACGAAATGGATGACGTAAGCTTTCTATGAAACGCTTATTTTAGCATTTTATAAGCGGTGACGCTAAGGATCACTATCGACCCATGCTATGTAATAGTGTCTGTCAAATATGCTATGCATTTAAGGGTTAAATGATTTTATTTTGCGTTAGTAACTGTTAAATGACGTCATGGTGACCGTTGCGATTTCATTCGCGCTGTTGTATTTCATTTCCGCATTTTAACAACGTCCAATCGAACCATCAACAACTGGCGATATCTGTTATGGACACCTTGGATACCATCATTCATCCATTTATTCGATCACTCGTTTACTCATTTATTCGTTTATCCATTTTCAATTATAAATCCATTCATCCGTCCCATGCAATCACCTTGCCACGCATTCACAAACGTTAATTGCATTTAGTGCATTTGTTCCAGATTAAAAATATATATATATATATATTCATATGTGTGCTTGTGTGTGTGTGTGTGTGTGTGTGTGTGTGTGTGTGTGTGTGTGTGTGTGTGTGCATGTGTGCGGTGTGTGTAGGTAGGTATCAAAGATTGCACGAAAAAATTTATTTTTTCGTGCACCACCAAGATAATTAGTTTTATTTTTCAAGTTCATAATCAAGTACTGTTCAAAAAAATTGACGTTTATTTTTGCTGGAATGTTTCTCATTTTTTTAAAATATTTAAAGACAAAGAATTTGCATTGCAACAAATTAATGCTTAAATATTTAGTAACTTTCAAACTAATCAATCTATACCTAAGTCGTTCATTGCCTTTGTCTTCATCTTATTTTCTCAATAAAATCAATCATGCTTACATTTACATACATATATGTAACACACACACCCACTATACACGCACGCGCACACACACACACACACAAACTTACATACACACATAGATACAAACATACATGTAACACATAGATACATGTAATACATAGATACATACATCGGTATAGATACAAACAAACATACATGCACACAAAAATGTACTTACATTTTAAAAGCGCGCCATTGTCGTGCCATACGTACCTACGTAAGCATGAATATGCAAATAACAAAATTAATTTCCACAATAGCAGCCTAATAACGGACATACCTAATGAGAGGATTTCATCAAACTTCAAAAAAATGCGTTTACCGTCAACATCTTCAACTTCGAAATCGGTATCATGAATTTTTTCTAGCAGTATTCGATAAAACTTTAACGTTTATTAGCCAGTATAAAACATGGAGTAAGTTTAGTGTGTGGCTTAGACGTCACACATTTATTATAATTTTCTCTAACCTTTTAACCCTGACCTTTGCACGTCCACTTCTGAGGGGCTCAAACTGAAAAAAGATGGAATTGAAAAAAAGAAAGAAGATAGAAAATAAAAAGTATTTTTTATGCTAACAATATACGATCAGAGAAGGCAGTTAGGGAGTAGGATGCCACCACTACATATGGTATCAGCAACCACAACAATAACAGAGCCATTTACAGAGAGAAAGTTCGCGAGACAAGTTCATGACAAATCTCATGTCGCAGCGGTTAGACAACGGCAGCATTAGGCGGACAATGAGGCAGACCACGCCAACAGGATACGAATCCGACCAGGTGTCTAGAAGACAACTCGAGACGCAGAAACAATACAACCAGCGACAAATATATCAACAAGTGATTTATTTAAACTTTTATTCATGATAATTCACAAAAGATAATAATAATAATGGTAATAAAAATTACTGTTTTTGCTGTTGCAGTCTTTCGTTTTAAATTATCTTAATGTTATACATTAAAATAATTTCCAATGTTGGTTTTATAATTATAATAATAATAATAATAGCAGAAATTGTAATAATAAAATATACGTTAAATTAAAATTCTTCTAAGTGAAATGAACGAACGATTTTATTTCAATACTCAAAAAACTATTAGTTAACTACTGCTAGTATAGTAGTATTAGTAGCAAAAACAATAATAATAATCAAATAATAATAATAATAATAAGATCATTCTTCCTTTCAACATCATCTTCAACCACTGTTCTGACTGTACATAGGAATCTGACTATATATCGTCTTCAAATTAAGCAGTTAATTATTAATTATAATATTATAATTGTTATAATTATATTTTTTTATCAACAGAAAAATTACTAAAACATGTAAAAAAATTAAACGAATAAAAACAAAACAGCCGAAAATGAATAATAATAATTAACATTTAATTGATAAATGAATAAAGATGAATGAAATGCAACAGACCTGGGTGTTGAACTGTTGTTGTTGTTGCTGCTGCTGTTGTGATTGGTCGATGGTCGTAGCGTTGGTTGAATTTGATTGGTCGATGGTACCAGCTGTGTGGATGACGATTTGCTGACCGGGCTGCTTGCCTTGCATCTGCAGAGCAATCTGCTGAAGCTGTGACGGTGTCAGCTGGATCTGTCCAGTGATGTTGTTATTATTCATGAGAAAGAAGTACATGCTGTTGTGTCTGCATTGGCTTATTCTTAGAAAAGTTGAACAAACATAAAATCAATTTTGTTGTTAACATTAAAACTTGGAAATTAAAAGATGAATTACTAGATAAATTTATAACACCAGGACCCAAAAGCTGAAGAGGTGTTGTGAAAAAATCAAACAAATACTAATACAATCAAATAATATTGCAAGTCAGAATAGGTCAGAAATGGATAACAGATTTCTAAAGGAATGGAAAAAAGGATTAACGTTGCTGAGATGTGGTTTTTGAGAAGAATTATGAAAATTAGTTGAACCTCTCATACCTCCAATGAGGATATATTGAAACAGTTCGGTTATGAAAAGAAGAAACTACTACAGATATGAAATAATCTGACGGGGCAGTTGAAGATTTTCTGTCACATCATGCAGAAGGAAAGAATGGAAAATCCAAAAACTACTGGAAAGATTGCAGGGAAAAGAGATTACGGTCAACAACGAATTACATTCGTGAAGTCACTTGCTGAATATCACCACATTCCAAGATCGGGTTTAGTGGAGGTCGATGGTCGCCGATGTCATGAGAAAGAAGAAGAATAATAATTAAAGAATGATACTAACAGGTATCTGCTGTACATCTCCATTAGGGCCCACAACTTGCGTAAAAACTTGCATAGTTTGTTGCTGTTGTTGTTGCTGCTGTTGCAGCTGTTGTTGTTGTAGTTGCTGTTGAAGTTGTTGCTGCTGCTGAGTCTGCGTGATGGTCTGCTGTGCAGCTTGCTGTGGCGCAGCTTGCAGCTGTATGATCTGCTGAGCTGGATGCTGCTGCTGTTGCTGCTGCTGAAGTTGGTGATGTGTCGCGTCGATCACGGGCTGTCCACAAAGGTAACAAATAAAATGAAAAACTATATTTTTTATTCATAGTAAAACGAAGTCTAAACAAGTTTCTATCAAACGGCTTTACTTTAGCAAAATTATCAAGCTGAAACATGAACAAGAAATATGTATTAAACTAGTATGAATTTAAGAAAAATGTAAGAAAGTTCGTTCACTACCTGTGACAATATGACACCGTTGCTTCCCTGGAGGAGTTGTATTTGTTGCGGTATCACCTGGCTGGCTGTACATGCATGTATTGTATTTCGATGTGAACAAGAACACGTATTTGTTATTGTATGTGCATTTGTTTGTATGAGAGTGCACAAGTATGTTTACATTAGACACATAGGCTGATGGTTAAAAAATTATTTTGTCACAATCAACCAATAGCAATTAGTCGATCAGCAGAAACGTAACCTTGAACTTGTAGCTGCGGTGTTGGTGCTGGTTGGTCAACTACATAGAACATCTTGTTCGTTTCCAAAGCATCTTCCTTGATTGGTTGATTTATCAAGTTGATTGGTGCATTGAAAATTTTGATTAAAATCAACTAATATAAATATCTGAAAAAATTTATCATTAGTTTTTACAGCTGTCTGACTTACTTTTTTTGCAGGTCTGATTTCTTCTCTGGGGACTATATCAATGAGGAAGTCAAACTGGTCGTATTTCGTGATGGCCATTGCAATGTCGTTCCTCTGACATTTTAACAACAACAATAATAATAATAATAATATGCAGCGTATCATATGAAATATAGATATAAATTGTGTAATGGAGAAATGCACAATAAAATTATTAAGAAGTAAATAACAAATTACAATAACAAACCAAATTACAAGAACAAACCAACATTCCACACACACACACCACTTCAAACACACACACACACGCACGCACGCACGCACACACACACGAACAAACAATAACAATTAATATAGCACACTCTACATGCAATAGCAACCTGCAATGTTCTTCTCTTGTTGTCCTCGGCATGCACCCAACCTCTCAGTGTCAATTCGTTTATGAAAATTTCAGCTGCCTTCGCAAACAGAACTGGTGCCTCCGCACTAATCATCTGTGTGTGGTGTGGTGTAGTGTGGTGGCGGTTGTCAAAGTTTGGGTTTGAAAAAAATTAATATTAATCTGATCAAGCAAAAATTTCAATATTTCAAACAGTCACAATTAAACATTTCATTGAAACTTTGAATTAATAACATAATGATGAGCTATTCTGTGCAATGTAGCCTAATTTAAAATTAATAAAAACTAAAAAAACATCTCATATTAATTCATTCAAACAGCTCAAAAAATCTTCGTTCATCATTTCACAAATGACTATCCATTCGATATTCAATCCACCAACTTTCACATCCTCATCCATCTTCATTATCTTTTTGATTCTTGCCAGAGGTAGCTCCTGGGTTTTGAATTCATTCTGAAATTTTTCAACAACAAAATAAAATAAATTACTAATAAACATGCACATGCACTTACATAGTAAATAACTAAAATGCAATCTGTACTTTTAGACCATCATTAGATTAGATCATTCAACATGCTTGTTTTCATTTCAGCTAAACTAATATTTGCAAAAATTGCATTTTCTGACTACATATATTTATAACATATTTGAGTGTTAAACATAAATTGGAAGATGGAATTTGGAATAACAGGGTTTACAAACTAAACATATCTATAAGTTTAATAAATGTTTAACACTTTAACTGTTAACAGAAGTTTTTGTGTAATATGAATATACTATCTGTTTATATATAAAAAACATACAATGAATATTTTATTTATTCATTTATTAAAAAGTAAAATAAATAAAGTAATATACCCTACCAATATTCAATTCTCTATTCTCTCTTAGATAGCATAGATATTATATATAGAGCTTAACTGTTCTAGTACTTTTATTTTATGATTTTATATTATATTGGTTTTTCAAACTCAGTCGAGTTGAGCTTACTGCTTTTAGGTTAATAGTCTAGAGTTGATTAGCATAATTAAGCAATAAGAATCAGTTGATTTGGTTAGTAGTATGCCATTTTTACGGTTTACATATTTTATTAAATATTTAAATTTAATTTCTTATTATTATTTTAGTTAAATTTGATTTGGGCTTTTTTTTAGAAGTATCCTTCTTAATAAAGCTAAACATGCAGTGTTGACTACTAAACTATACTATAACAATAACTAACTAAAATAAAAAAACTGAAGCAATTTTGTTTTGGTGCATTAATTAAAAAATAATAAGTAGAACAAAAAGTAAAATTTTGCCATAATTACTTCATTTGTCTGTTTTAACAATTTATTATAAAATATAATTAGAAATCATAAAATAATATAAAAATAAAAAGTAATTATTAAGTTATTAATTGAATTAAATTGAATTAAATTTAAATTAAAAAAAAATAACCGATTTCAGATTATTAATGTCATCCATAGTTTTGATCCAAAAATTTTTTAACTGTTCTTGAGCTTCAGTCATCGCTGAACCATTTTGTTCGGCGGACATTTCAGACAGATTTTAAATGAACAAAATTTTATTTACTCGATATTTTCTCAAAGCTTACCGATTTTAAATTAGGACCGAGGCTGTAACGATAATAAAAGTAAACAATAAGCAATATAAACAAAGAAAAAATAAATTATTTTATTCATGCCAACGCTTTTGAACATAACCTTTAAAATTTGGTTGAGGATCAATTTTAGACAAAAATAATTAACAGCAAAACTATATTTTTTTTATATTAAAATTTTTAAACTACAAAAGTTTTTATACATCACTCGTTTCCATGGTGATCAAACCCGGCCAACTTCGAACCCGACCTTTTCCGAACCACGGCCGAACAGAAGCAGCTACTAAAAGTTCAAGGTCCAAGACTCAACACGAATATAAAAATTTATTTTTTCACAATAAACTCATCAAAATCAAATTCTCTAATTGTTTTTTCGTTTCTAAATTCGCATTTGTTAATGGAACTTTTCGGACTTCCTTCTTTTGACAGCCAATCCTTCCTGGAATGAAATGGAAAAGCAAATTGTCAGCACGCATATGCGTGTTTACATTCGAATTTCATACGGGCATCAATCAAATTTATCATTTAGATATCAATGATCAAATTGTTAACATTTTTTCAACGCTGCTTTCCTTCCCCTGAATGACACCAACGACGGTTCCATCATCTTCGTTCTTCACCCAACCTACTAACCTGAGCGCCTTGGCCGTTTGTGCTGTGTACTTTCAATGAAAATCAAGATATTCAGACTGTGCAACTTTTCTTACATTTACCAAGTAAAAATTTAAATTAAAACTTCAAAACATTTTTTTTTAAATATCCTCGATAACGATACGATAGAAACGGATAGAGGATGGCGATAGGACGGGTCGACCAGAAATGAAAAATGCTCACTTTACGAAAGAAAACTCCTGAAAACGAAATTAAGCAACAAATAATTTAATTAAAACTTTGTCAAAGCAATGTAAGAAAACAATAACTTATTAGTACACAAGCTACAAATAACAAACAAAACATAGGCAAAGCAATGCAAAAATACGCAAAGCAATTCTTTGCAGTACATACATTACATACAAATAATATAATATAATATACAATACGCAAAACAGCATCACCACTACGGTACAGACGATGCATATAAATTGCATATTTTAAAACATAAAACGAGACGAATCAGCACCTTGAACCCTGCCAAAGACCTTGTACTCCACCGAAACGAGCGACATCTAGGACAGGGCCGATCGCTTTCTTAATTTAATCTTAATCGCAATCCAGTACTTTTTAAATTGTTTTAGATTAGATAGATGTTCAGTTGTGGAAATTAAAATATGGAAAACATTACGGGCTTTATATTTTCAACCTTAAAATTTGAATGCGCTGTATCTTATTAAGCATTATCTTTTCCTATTGTATAGTTGCATCTTTATTTTAAATTTAGTTTACAACAACAATATCTGTTAATAAAATACGATATCTCTTTTTTAGAAATGAGTAAACACTTTAGTAATTGAAGTATACCATGCGTTCGGTTCAGTGTTAATTTGATATTCAGCTTACTAGAGAAAAAAGTTATTTATCTTAAACAAGACAAAAAGCTTAAACGAGATAAAAAGAAAAATAAAAAACATAAAATGGAAAAAACTGGTGAATAGAAACATTTATTTGCATTGAATGTATTTATAGCGCATAAAAATATGAAAGTTGGCTAGCAATCAAGCTCCATGTACGGAAAAGATGGGTACGTACATGTTTGTACGTGTACTCGTGTTTGCATACAAACATGTGCACGTGTGTGTGTACTAATGTTTGCATGATCGAATATAGGGGGCGCGTTCTTTTATGTGTACTGTACACACAGCCAGCCACCCAACACACGCTTGCTTCAAATGTATTTTGAGGGTATGAATATGATAATGATGGCGTTGATGACGATGACGCCGTGATCGCAGCGACGATGAAGATGTTGTTTTTTTTCTCAAAGATGTTCAGTGGTCGGCAGGCGTATGAATTAATATTTAAGAAGGATTGTGAGATTTATAAGTAGTTCATAATTATTAAAGACTTGCTAATATTATCAGACACTTGTCGGATATACATTCAATTAAGAACTGGGAACATTTTTTCGATTGATTTGAAAGAATTGTGTTGCGTTATATTTACACCCCAAGCTATAATCAATGGAATTTGTTTTCTTTCTGCAACCGTGTTTTGTCGTTATTTTGTTTTAAGAATTAAGTGCTGTACAATACGGTTAGTTTTAATTCTATGAAAGTTATATTTCATCAAGAAAAAAACATTCAAAATCAAACTTATGGACCAGAAATGCGAAATTCACGTCTACCTCTGTGAACAGAACCAGTCTTCACCGCTCTTGAAAAACACCAACAAATCTGCAAGAAGCCAGGCAAGCGAAGTCGGTTCCGAACCTAACCATGGACCAAAAAAAACTTCATCTTTAGAAAAACTCCGAGCCAAAGAAAAACATCTGGGTCTATCCCCATCCCGTGCTGGCTTCTTCGGTAAGAATCGGTTGACTCCTTGGAGAAGTTTGAAAGATTTGACGAAAATTTCAAACAGCGATACTTCGGTCAATAATTTAGCGATCGATTCCAACAAAGACTGCTTTGGTAGTACGAATAATATCGATACTGACTGCGTTTCACCTCGCGTGAGCTCTAACAGTTTGGCCAGTATTCAGGTTGAATCGTTAGATTTAACCGATACAGTAACCTTTAACCTTGGATCGCATCACGACCACAATCCTTACAGGGTTAGCACTAAAGAAAGTGATTCTTCTGAATCAGGATTATTTGCAAATAACGAATCCGTAGCGATTTACACACAAAAACGGAAACTCCCTATCAAGAACTGCAAATCATCCGCCGTTTTTTCTCGATCGACGTCTTGCCCTCTCGTTCTTCCGGCCGGTCAGACTCGACAAAGAGATGGTATCGTATCGAATAGAAACGAATTTAAAGAATCGATATCTTTGCTGAAGAAACAAGTCGATTCAATAGAAAGCGATTCATGTAACATCACTACACCGACTGAAAACAGCATCGACTTGAAATCAATATCTCAATCAAACGAACAGTCGGAACCGAACAACAGCATCGCCAACATTCAAACCGGATCTCAAATCAAACCAAACGATTCAGCGATAAATCGAAACCTCCCTCTTAAAGAATCGGTTGTCAAACAGTTAGAAGTTTCTACCACATCGACATCAACACCGGATAAAGAGAAGCACAAGAAGCAACTGCAGTCGACCAAAATTCTTGCGAGGTCCAAGTGCATGCAGTGGTTGAACAGCCTGGACGAAGGTGACTGAGTCACCATTTCGTAATTCCTAACTAAGAGTCTTTATCAATTGATAGATTTAAACAAAGAATTATTAAAATTTTTATTGATAATTTTATTAGATTCAAATATTTTTGAACAATTCAATATAAAATACACTGTATTCATAATATTTATTACGTTTTTATCTTTATTTTCTGTTTCATGCATTTATTTATTTTTGAAATGTTTGCTCTTAGAATCGCACAACCATTCAAACAAACAAACAACCAGACAACCGAAGGACTGAGAATTGTGCTCAAGGACAGATACATCAACTCTAATATGCACATACTATGAATACAGACATGCTCACGGCATTTACACAGGCACATATTCACACACACGGAAAGAGAGAGAGAGAGAGAGGGAAAAAGAGACACAGACAAACTTACAGAGGATTTTTTACAAAAAATGCTCTTGTATCGAATATGTTGTTTTGAGATGTTTTTACTTTTGAAATCATTTTTTGTACTGAGCATTTTGTTGCAAAGTTTTTGTGATATTGTTGTTTATTCATAAATATACTTAATTTTTCGTGGTATTTATAACCTCCACGATGTTTTAATGAATACAACAACTAAAATTTCATCAACGCTGTGTATCGTAACCAGTAATTTGTATGTAATTGTATCGTTAATGTAATGAGTTCAAGAGAACATCCTGATAGTTAATAGAATTATCAACCAGTTAATGACAATTTCAAAATATTTCATTTTATTAAACAGAAGAAACATTTTTATAACTGACACACATACCTAAGACATTTTAATTTAAGACGTACACAAACACAATGCTCACACAAATATGAACTGTATGTATATATACATATATGTAAATGCATGCATGCATCCAACAAAAATTATATATTATACACATTCCTCGTGTAAACAATACACCCAGACATGCAAGCACACATAAACATACAGATCAACAAACATTTGCACATAGGTACAAACATATATACATACGTACATACACACACAAATATGTATAAATACATACATACACACACATACATACACATAAAAATATACAAAAACATACATACACACACATACATACACATACATACACACATACAAATATGTATAAATACATACATACACATACATACACATATACAAAAACCAATTTTCTTTGCTATGTACGGATTTAGACTTACACGTTCACAAGACCAGTAAGTAATAAAGTAATAAAATTGTCTACATGCACTTGTACCAATATTATATTATCGCCGTTTCTGTACATCTTTGTGAGTGTCACTATTTTGTATGAAAAGAGAACAATTTACGAGTTTAATGAAATAGTTTAATGAAAAAATCAGAAAATTAAAATAAACCATACACATATTTCAATATTAATGACAAAATAACGTAAAAATTATTATTTTAACAGCAAAAAATTAATTAAAACTAGATGCAGTAGATGCAGTGTAACGTTAATAATAGTATTAGTTAGTATTTGTAATTAAGTAATGTTGGCACAGTATTAATTGAATTTAGTATAATAATATTCTAATGATATATTTAATACTACTTTACAAAAATACATGTTGTTAGTATCAATAGCAGTAGCTAGGTGCGTCAATCCCCCACAGAATGAAGGAGGCAAAAATATATGTTTCCACCATTAGGTCAATTTTTTTAGTTAATCTAGAATATTCTAAACATCATGAAAAACTGGGTGAAACAACTAACAAAATTTGCAACCAAATGGTCTTCATTTTATTATTAGCCGCAAAATTGAAATATTTTCAACTAATTTTGTATAATAAAAATCTCCCTCTTAACTTAATGTAGAAGCAATTCCCGCCTCTCTCTTCACTGTGGAGACAGCCTTAGAAGCAGTGAACTCTGATAGACTGGGTGAAGTAACTATTGTATTGTATTATCGTGCGATCAAGATTAAATAATAATATTTATGATAATTAATAAATGGGGTTAGTAAATTTACAAATTAATGACAAAATAGTTTTATTGAAATAGCACTAACAAGGAAAATTATATAGAGAGGCAGGCTAAAAAATCCAAATTTAACAGCAAGAATACACACATGTGTATTTGTTATTTTTGTTATTTGAGTTAACGTATAACGGATATTAAATTTAAATATATGAACGCACGAGGGTGGGAAGAAATGATTGCGAAAATCTACAAACACCATCATGCAAACGGGCGAATGAAAACACACACATACACACACACACACGCGCGCGCGCATATATATGTATATATATATATATATATATATATATATCGCAACAATTTCATGCACACATATATGTATATAATGAAATTTTCGTTCAAGTAGATGACAAACATTGTATAACATGGTGTAAAATAAAATGTCTAAAATGAACGAACGAAAAATGAGAAATTGGTATATATGAAAGATAGAAACTAACAAAACTGAGAATCAAAATTTCCTCATTAAAAAATTCATTCAAGCATGTGCATTATGTGTTATTCTTTCTTTCTTTCTTTCTTTCTCTCTCTCCTCTCGCTCTCGTTCTTTACGGAACACACACACACGCGTACACGTATTCACACACACGCACGTACGCACAAATAAATAAAATTATTATTAACTTATTAAAAAATATAAATAAGGCAGTAAACCAGGCTAAAAGCAGCAGTATCTTAATAAATGCTGTATGTATATATATATATATATATATATATATATATATATATATATATATCTATATATATCTGTACAAGTTATACAGAAATAAATGCATGAAAATATTGATGACCATAAAGTGAAAGACCTAACCCAGATACATCTTATATTGTGATACTAACAATTTTTCAAGTTGGTGACTCTTCTAAAATACTTTCCCGAAAATGGTACAGAAACAAAATAAAACAGTTGAGACAAAAAAGTAAAAAATTTATAGGAATTTAGAACCGCTAACAAAAATTGTGTATACAAAATGTTGTGTAATATTGACATTTATCAAAATTTTCAATAGAAACTTTGAAAACAATCACAACAAATAATTAAAAAATTAGAAACGAAATAAATTTTTTTGAACTATAACAAAAGTTGCTGCAAAAACAAAAAAAGCAGACTGGTGCAATTATTTTTTAAGAAGAGGTAAGAGGCAGTGGTTGGAACATGCTTTCTTCAAGAAGGGATGCCACAACAGCTCCGAGGCGGAGAGTCGGTTCAACGGATCCTTAACGATCATCTTCTCGACGAATCCTTGCAACATTGGTGACACCTTGAATGTTCAATATTTTTAATTGATCGTACTAATGCAGCCACAAACACTGATCTGCTTAGGCACATACAATTCGTATACATACATAGTGCAATTAAACTTTTGTGTCACAAGACGATGTATATAACGCATCCGGAAAAACTAACCCTGGACAAGTTGGCCATGACAGGTACTGACTCCTCCTTGATCTTCCTCATGGCGTGTGGTGGAATGTCGTTGAAGTAGGGAGGCTCCCCGTCCACCATCTCAAACACCAAGATGCCGAATGACCAGATATCAGCCTGGTCAGTGAGTTGAAGTTTTGGTTGGCAGAGGTGATTATTTTTGAATATTAAACTTTTTTTTGTTTTTTGTGTGTGTTGAATTATAAGCCTCAAACTAAATTTTAATATAAAAAAAATAGATAAGGCTACTAATTTTCAGTAAAACTTTTTAAATTGCTATTAAAAATTGAAATCCTCAACGTTCTTATTAATAAAAACCAAAAGAAGCAACAAACAGCAGTGTTGTAAGGTTCCCTGGATATGATCTCAGGGGACATCCAGTAGGGAGTGCCAACCAGGGACCTTCGTCGTGGGGTCTCTGGGGTGAGTTCTATGGAGAATCCGAAGTCCGACAGTTTTACCTACATGGAAGTTGTGATGGTATAACTGTTAAGGATGATTTGAATGGCGATAGGCGCGCGTTTATGGTGACTAAAAATGAAGAATGGTTAAGTTGCAATTATCAATGATGGTTTAAATGATTGAAATATATACCAATTCATGTAGTTTAGTTAAACTATTTACAAAGTTATTAAATATAATAAAAGACCGCAATAACACAAAACATCACAACAACACATCTCAACAACTTCTAATAACATCAGCAATAACACTAACATCAACAACAGCACCAACGCCAACAGTTGTACCGAATTGAAGAACGTAACGCCACAAGAAATAGTACCGAAACCACCAGCCTTACCTCTCCATCCTCTCGAATCAGCACGCAGTCGGACTTGATGTCCCTGTGAATGATGCCCCTGGAGTGCAGGTACGACAGGCCTTCTAACAAACGCTTGCTCACCGTGGCTATCTGCTGCTCTATCATTCTGTTTGCCGTTTAGTAATAATAATAATAATAATAACAATAATTAATACTAATAATTATAATAATAATAACAATAACAATAAGAATGATAATAATAATAATTATTATTTTTTTTCATTATTATTATTGTCTTTATATTGTAAAACCATTATCATTATCAAGATGATGATAATGATATCATTATCACCAAATGTCCTTGACCTCACCACTACCACCGCCCTAACCACCACCACCACCCCTACCACAATCATCATCCTTATTATCATCCTTATCATCATCATCATCATCATCAAATGACCTTGAACTTGCGACAACATCGGCCAACGTTCCAGCCTGCATGTACTCCATGACGATCCAAAGTTCAGTTTCAAGTAGGAAGCTGTCCACGAACTGCACGATGTTGGCATGGTTCAACTTCTTCGTGATGCTCAACTGACGGTGATGATGATGTTGTTGGAGATGATGAGGATGATAATGATAATAAACAAGATGATGATGGTGACGATGGTGATGAAGGTGCGGAGCGATATAATGATAATAATGAGCATGGCGGTTGTGTTGTGCAGTGAAAGTGATGACGATGATTATTCCCAGAGATAACAGTTCAGAAAAAGATTGTAAATTTTTGTTATAAATTTCACAAATTAATCAATTCCTCAAATAACCATTCCGATGAAGCAATTAAAAATCAACATCTTACGTGCAACTTTCAATCTACAAAGTAAATTTGAAAAGTAGCCAAATAAAAAATGTTATATTTTACCCTCTTTTCAATAATTTTTAAAATTCGGCGTCAGTCTTCACAACCAACCGACACGCAACTGACCTCATTAATGACCAGCTGCTTGTCCTTCAGAAGGTTCAGGTTGATCCTCTTAACTGCCACCTCAACCCTCGTTCGTTTCTCTCTCGCCTTGTACACCGTGCTCGTCGTCCCATCTGCAATCTTTTCAAAGTCCTCGAGGAATAACATCGGGTTCTCGTAGTTTACCCGCATCTCCAGCTGCTCCATGAACTGTTTGCACGTTCGTTCGTTCGTTTTTAATATTATTAAGTTTTATATAAGTTTGCATTTTGTATCTACAACACATTAATGTAATGTGTCAATTTTTTAATTGAAAAATATCAAGAAATATAATGATGTCATCTGAAAATAAAGATGACGTTTTAGGCAATAAAAAAAGGTATGAATGAACGAAAAACGATAAGTCACAAATCAATCCTAACGTATTTATCCTCGTAGTTGTCTTCCATGATGGGCCCAGCAAACACCAGACCGCTAGGTGTGTCAGAGGAGAAATATTTCAGACTGTTTGTAAATGGGTTGTTCAGGGTTTGCCGGCCCGAACTGTTCAATGCTGACGGTGTTTCCTGTTGGACAAACCTCTCGTTTGTAACGTTGTGGTGTGGAGACTGTTAGGGAATCAAGCAAAATATAATTGACGTTTAACTTATTATCAATTTTTCAACATTTTCCTGTAAATTTTATCAGCATCAACTGCCATAAAATTAAATATTTTTTTCAAAATGCTTTTGAGTAATCAATTAAATTAAATTAATCAAATTGGAAAACCTCATTTTGTGCGTAACTGTGCCAGTAGTTGCTCTTTCCCTCCGATTTCAACCTGTCCTTACTGGGAGATGAGTTTTTCTGCTCCAAAGATTTTTGCTTGTTCAATTTTTTGGAAAACATTTGAGGTTTGTAATTTCGTAGTTTAGTAAGTAGGGTAAATTAAATATAATTTTGCGTAATTCGATTCTAAATAATTAAAGAAAATTGATGATATCAATCAATTAAGAATTATTATACGTTAAATATTTGTTCACTAGGACGAAATTAATTAATGATAGCCCTAATAAAATAACTAATTGCAATAATCATTTGTATTGTTCACGTACATTGCAAACAGGCCTTGTTATACTATATTTTTATGGCAGATGTTGTAATCAATTGTAAATTTATACGTACATAATTTTTTATAATTTAAAAAAAAAATTTAGAAAAAAATGCTTATATTTAATTAATTTATTATTGTAAATCAAAGATGCAGATTATCTCGTTTATAACAAAAAGGTTATTTATAATTATAAACATTGCATACATATTTATATATGTGTACGACAAACTTAAAATGAATAAGATTATGTTGAGATATCTAAATATGTATATATATAAACATAAAAGAATTTATATAAATTTCTTTTTATCATACAATACATCAAATCATTTCATGTGTTTGTATGAAGAAACGTTTATGCAATTAACTCCCAAGGTAATAACTACGTTCACCTTGACAGGTGAATAAAATGTTCTAAATGTGATATATTACAATTATTTAATGCAAGTGACAAACGCATTTTTTAAATAGTAAAAACTGAAATAACTATTTAAAATATTAAAATTAATTAAGATTAATTTTAATTAGATAAAAACTGGGATAAAATCTTTTTTTTTATTTTAAAAACTCTTTGCTCGGCGTAATGTGGTTGGTGCTGCTTCGGTTTAAATTAAGTCTCACTTTTCTTTTTGCTCAATCTCGGTGAGAGTAGGTTTCATTTTTAAAGTTTTTTTTCTTTTATAAATTTACGCCATTAAAATGTAAATTACGCAATTTAAATTTACTTTCTGCACGATATATTTGTGTTTTTGTAAATTGTTATCTCATTTTTCATCCATGAAATACAGACATTGAGAAATGAACTTTTCTTTTACTTTGCATTTGGTTGCCAAGTTTTAAGATTTGTGAATTGTTGCGCTTTTCATTGTTTCGATTGAATTTAATTAATTTAATTTTAATAAAAATTTTAATTTTAGATTTTAACGTTTACTGAATTAAAATTATCGTCTTATTCATTTCGACCAGGCAAACTCTTGAAATAGTTAAGTTGAGTTTTGTTGCAAATAAAAAGAAGCAATGGGAGGTAGTGATGACAGTGAGAAGGACATTATTAAGCAAATTGCAATAAACCTCTGTTCAGTTCTCAGCTCAGAAAGGCTAAGAAAATGGTACCCAGAGGAAGCGAGAGGTATCATTTATTTATAATTATATTTATGAATTGTTTTTTATATTTTTAAAAATTATTTCAGGATTTAATCATAAAAATGTTAATTTGTTTTTATCATTATTAAAGCAATCCATATAAATTTTTATATATTCAATTGTTTGTAAGTAAATTGTAATTTATAAATTATTTAACTTTTAATAATAATGTAAAATTAATAATTAAATTATTTTAATTAAATTAAAAAGACTGCATTTTTCTAAAAAAGCTGGTTCTTTTTCTTTAATAATCTAATTAAAAACTGTTCTTTTTTAGAATTTTTTTTATTATAATTAAAGTTCAGCAAAAAATGCTAGCAATAAAGCTATATATTTTTTTAAATTATTATATATTTTAAATGGTTTTGAGAGTAGAGTTACTTATAAATGACTGGAAGCAAACATGTTCTTTCATGAATTTTGTACATTTTTAATAAATTAATAAATTACTTATATTTATTTGACCTGCCTTGACACAAGTGTTTTAATGTCAATGATACCACTTGAGCACATGTGTTGTAATATTGATTACATCCATATCAACAGACGTTTGTTAAAATATTAATGATACCATTCTATGTGGGATGATATCAATGATACAATCTCAACTAGTGTGTGAATATTTTCCTTCAATATTTCTCAGAAAGTTTCAACCACATACTCATATGAACCAATATAAAAACAAGTGAATCAATGCATTGCCATGCACCTTAATCACTGTACCGTCGACAAATATTTTACTATTTCCTCAATTAATATCTTGCAGCGGAGTACAAAGATACGACATACGAAGACCTTCCGTTCCATACTTTCAAATGTAGATCTGTTGAAGAGTTCATGGCCAAATACTTGGGAGATTATTTAATCTTTACTAAGTAACTTTTTTTCTTATAAATTTTTTGAATGTTTTATTCATTTGAGTATCAGTCAAATATAAATCTGCTTGTTGGCTTCTATTAATTGAGTTCATTGTGTGATTGATTGTGATGTGTTTACGCATAAACTAGTTATATTTCTATACTGACTATCTGTCGGTTGATAGGTAATTTTGTCTCAGAGAAAGATGATAGAGTTTAATTTTATTTTTAGTATTTCAGTAAAGTATTAGTAGCAAACAAACATTCAAACTCAGTCAGAGCAACAACAATGCCAGATAAATTTACTTGTATGTAAGTTAGTTTATAAGTGGATTAATTGTGCCTCACACAACCAGGGACGAGCAGGGTAGATCCATGGTTCAGGCCAGACCTGATGAGAAGACGAATCATGTGAGCAGTCTCATAGCAAGGACCAAGTCGAAATCAAAAAAGATTGTAATTATTTTTTTATTTGTATTTAAATGATTTTCTATTTATTATTCCTGATTGTTATATTTAATTGTTAGTTTACTAGAAACCATTCGCTGTTCTGCACAGGCCACCACTAGTTTAATTCAACTGAAAATGTTTCATAGTTCTTTTTTTATGAAGTGTTGGAAATATAGTTATCATTGGTGTCTGTAGTAACGAGCATTAAAGTGTTACAACAAAACTTTATTATTTAAATAAACTTTAGATGCTAATTAAAATAGCTATTTTTTATTTTAAATTGGATTGTGAAAACTCCCAAAAAAAAGAAACGACCGGCAGGCAAGCAGAGCTACCTTAGCCACCACCAGCCAGCTCACATCAGTCTCTTCAAGAAGGGCAAACCCGGGGGCTACTCCAAGTCCTTGCAGTTGAAGTGGTCCGGGTACACTTCCAACCACTGTAAACCATTTGGTAGAAGCAGTAACAGTATAAATTATAATAATAATATTGGAAATGGTGATTATCAATGTGGGGATAATAATTATAGAGCTGCTAATGTTATGGCTGAATGGTTCCCAGCAGATAGTAAAAGCAGAAATAATGGTAATGCTAAGGAGCACGTAAAAGATTTAAAAATTAAACTCGAGGAGCAGAAGCAACTACAACGGCGACAGAGACCTCCTCTCCTCTCTAACCCGCCACTCAATCCTTCCCTTCTTCGTTCTGGCCAGGCTCCTCCTTCGTCATCATCTTTATCACCCAGGAAGACATTCAACACATTATCAGCAACATCAACGGCAACGACAATGAGAGCTCTTGCCACTACCAATTCTACCAAAGGCCTGTCTGTTCACGATAGGCTGGGCGTCAGGCGAACTACTAATAATAATTATAATAATATTTTCAGTAATTATACTAATAATAAAAATAATGATAACATCAATAATAACGGAAGTGGCAATAATAATAATAACAATAAATCCGTCTATGATAGGTTGGGTGTCAGTGCCAAAGTTAGGTTGGGTGTTGATGATAGTAATAATAATAATAACAATAATAATAACTTCCTTGAAAATAATAACAACATCATCAATAGTAAAAATTCTGTGCAAGGCTCCTCTTCTCATGCCATCAAGATAATGAAGAGCAACGACACCTATAATGATGGCAAAAGCTACAAATCTTTTACTGCTCATATTAATAATAATAAATATAATGGAAGTGATAATAATAATAGTAATTTTAATGGCAATTCTAAAAATCATTTTTGGTCCTTAACCAGAACAATTGACAACGTGGCTAGCAAGAACTCTGACATCAGTTTGCACGATATGACCACTGATAAGGGGAATGATGATGACAAAAGTTTCATCAATGATGATGAAGATGATGAAAATTACGACGATGATGACACTGAAGATGAAGTACGAAACGTGAGATACAAAGCCGTCACACATCACCACCACCATCATCATTATCACCATCAGAGTAGCCAATCACCCGAAAGGGGTGACGGTGATCATTATCATACGAGTTGGCGGGAGAATGATAGCAGTAACGATAGTAGTCGTCGTAGTTCTGTATCTAAATGTGGTAAAACTACTAGAAAGGATTGCAATTTTGCGGATGATGGTAGTCGTTCTGATGATTATGCTAAGTATGATGAAGGTGATGAGAAGGGCAGTGACCTCTGGATGGTGGATTCTGATGATCAGGATCTGGAGAGAGATGCAGAGCTTCTTGTTCAAAAGTTCCAGGTATTAAAATTCATCTCTGTTATTTCTTTTTCTAGATTGCATGTTTAGTTATTATCTCATTAATTCATTTATTGTTATCAGTTATTTTCACAAGCAAGCTATATATTGTTAAAACGTGAGTACAAATGTAAAAGTTAATTTCAACCCATTGCTACAGAAACAGCAAGAACATCTTCACAATCACAAACAAACCAAGCAAAAGCATGATCCTCCGGAAAAAAATAAGAAACATGCTGTCGGTAAACAGCTGACAACTGAAAACATACCACCAGTCACGAGGTTTCATTCCACATCTTCTGCAAATGTCGCATCTCTTTCATCATTATCATCTAAAACCAATCCAGCGTTTTCAACAGCAGCAGCCACGTTTTCATCCTCATCCTCTAGAGCATCCAATCCATCAGACTTGTCATCATCATTCAATAGATCACTATCGATCAGTTCCAATACTTCGGATCTTGATTGCTCAATAGCGACATCTTCAACCGCGATCACAGCTTCAAGAACAGTAGCTGCAATGCTACCAGCCGCACCACTAACAACCACAACGTTACCTTCTTTGACTAGATATGTACCAACAACAGCAACGACAACATCAACATCAACATCAGCAGCAGTAAACATATCAGCTACAACAACAGCAGATCCAGCATCCAGTCATCAATTCTTGCAATTATCTGCATCATCGTCGGCACGTAGGTCACTACAAATGCACAACATTTTGTCAGTAACACCAACATCTCGCAGATCATCATCTGTTCTTTCAGCAACATCAATATTACCTGAAGATGAATTTCTAGATGTCTTTCCACAGGGTTTGCAAACCTTTTTTATCCATCATTCATTTATCCACTCTATCTACATACTTAATTACTCATATTAAATGGATTGTTTATATAAAATTACAAAGTAGAAATTATTAGGCAGTGTGCTGTTTGTTGTTGTAGGTTCAATTAATTTTTGTACTGGAGTGTTTGTTGTTCACATGTGATTTTAATTTATTATTTACTATTAATTTTTTACTTTATACTAAAATTTTTTGCATGAACTTTTAGGCATTTGTGCATGTGTGTGTGTGTTTATGTGTGTGTGTGTGTGTGTGTGTGTGGGTGTGATGATATTGTTGTGGGATGGTTACAAGAATGATTTATGAGGAAGAATGATGAATTTAGTTACAGATGGATAATATGCTGCTATGGACTTTGCGTGCTATATTATAATTAAACTCAACATCTATTTTACTGGTTTTATTACTAGCTATGTATTATTATTATTATTGTTATTATTGAGAGGAATTGTACTTATCTTATTTATACTTCAGATGCACCAACTCCTTCATGCCCATCTGCAATACCACTCGAAGATACTGTATGTTATGACCATTTTTCCTCCCTTTTTCTTAACATTCACCTTTTTGTTTTTATATCTGTATATATACATGTTTGTATGTTTGCGTGTTTGTATGTTTACATGTTTTTATGTTTTTATTTACTTGTTTATTTGTTTACATGTTTGTATGTTTTGTTTTACGTTCACTTGTTTTATAAATTAGTAGTTGTTTATATTTTCATTTGTTTACATGTTCACACATTGTTCTTTTTTCATACTGACGCACCTACCTACCATTTTCATTGCTGCCTCTAACCAGGTGATAATAAAAGATATCAGAAGTACCTCTGAAGTGCTTGCCCTCAGATCTAATGGACAATTGGTTGGTGTCTTTACTTAAATGTATGCTGTCAGATCTATATGTTTGCAGTTTTGTGTGTTAACATGTATAATATAGGTAGTATTTACATGTTCTATTGTATATAGATTTGGTTTCCTTAACTATTTTTTGAGAACATTTTTTATAATTAGAACTGTCTTAATGTTTTTTTTTCTACATATAAAATTCGCTTCAACTTCCCAACAACATGTGATGTTCATTATTTCAATTTTGTCTGATTGCCTCTTTACTTTTCTCACTTTATCTCTTCATATCTCTCTCTCTCTTTCTCTCTCTCTCTCTCTCTCTCTATCACACTTTCACGCATTTTTTAATCTTTTTTTAAATCATTCAGAATGGGCAAATTTTATATACAAGAACAAACGAACAAACTAACTAACACACGTATATATACATACACACAGACAGACACACACACACAGACAGACTCAAACACACAACATACTATTTCTTTACTACATTATCATTCACCACACACCAACATCACATATCTAATATTGTTACCTGCTCTACTATTCAAATACTAGTGCATAAGGATTGTCATATACATAATTTTTAGCAAACCTAGATGTTAATAATTTTATAGTAGTAATAGCTGAATATCTAGTATCTCAATAACAGTATTGATAATATAAACGGTGATAGAAATATTAATAATGAAAATTTTTGTGGCACTGAGATAAGGAGTTGACATCAACGTTGTTATAGTTTCATGACATGTTGTTGTTGTGATCAGGTGACATTCAGTTTGTGTCATTTGACTGATGCCGACTTAAGCGTTGACATGGAATATCTTAATGTCATCCTATTGGAGAGAACGTTCAGGGTGGTCTTCACTCTTGGGTTAGTCTTATCATCATCGTCATTGTCATCTTCATTAATGTCATCGTCTTCATCGTTATCTTCATCATCACCTTTAACATTATCATTTTTATCATTCGGAGCAATCTAAAACAAGATATAAGCTATTTTAACAAATATCGCATTTTCATACCTTCGCCCTTTCATAAAATGATCGTAATCACGTGTCTAAACAGCTGATCACGCTAATCTCAACAGGAATATTGCGCGCTCATTTGCACACTCACGTTGCACTTCATAATAAATGATCGGCAGCTGTCATTAAACAACCGACCACGCCCACGTATTTACTTAACCGCAGATCGGGCAATGTCTATGGAACACTGTGGCCCGTCAGTGAGGATGGTCAGGTGGAGCTGCAGGACCGTGACGTCAACCTGGTCATCCTCGAAAACATGCTGACACTGCCCAGCCCTGCCAGCCTGCCTGTGTTTATATATAATTTCTTTTTAATTATTATTTCCTATTAATTATTATTAACCACAAATTCTGAAGCTCATTTGCTCTGTAGCATTTCATCAATTGCATGGAAGTAATTTGCTGATTGTCGGCTGGTTAAAAATTGTTAGGTGGTGGGAAATGTTTGGTACAAGGTGTAGTTAATGTAAATTTGTCTTTATGTGTATATATATATATATACATATATATAATTATATATATATATATATATATATATAATTATATATATATATATAACAAAGTTAGATAACACCTTGGTACATTACAAGCACCCTGACCACCCACAGAGGCAAGACCAGGATGGGAGCGACAGTTTCCATAGGATTTATTACTCCATCCACGAGATGATGAACATCAGACAGCATCATCCAATTAAACCCAACAGCTTGGTCAGCAGGGTAATCAATGAGTATTTGTTGACTCGTAGCCAACCGTGGATTCGTAGCCAGGCCAGTCCAGCTGCTGATCTCGATTCCTTTTGTAATACTTCTAGTGCTGATGTCAGAGGTTGTGAAAGTTTGAAGCGAAAAATGGGGTTGGCTCTAGTGGTGAAGGTTGATGAGGTAGAGAATGTCAGTGGAAAGTTTTGGGTGAAGATGCTCACCACCAAAGCTGAGCTGCAGGTCTGTTCATCAGGATGTGTACGTACGTCTGTTTATTTACGCCTGTGTGTGGATGTCTCTGTCTGTTTGTGTGCTGTTTATTTATGCTTTATGAGATTTATAGAGGACTTAGTTATGTTTGTTGTTAAATGGCTTTTATAGGTTTTTCTTTGTTTTGTGCTTACAGTTTTTTTAACCAGCAAGTTATCAACATTATCAACATCATCATCATCATCATCATTATTTATTTATTTATATAATTATATTTCTAAGGAAGCACGACGTTCATGCGATTTGCCATCTATCCCCGCTTTGGAGTGCCAACTCTTCCAACTGACACCAGATGAAGTCGTCTGGTCAAGAACGGCTTCGTTGAAATTATTTGAATTGTTGAAACCGCCGCAGAAGGTGGTACTGAAAATTTTTGAGAGGTCAAAGGTCGCGGGTAACATCATTCTGAAGGTGGACGTCCGATTGATGAACGAAATCACCTACGTTGGAGATAAGCTGAAAGTCGATAAGGAGGTCATCAGACTGTATGCAAGAATACCAAAGGCACCGTTGCCAAGTTTTGGAGAGCGCATATATATCACGCACATCAGAACGTTTCAGTACTTTCACGCCTTTCCCCACAAGTACCACAAGGATCTCCGCGATCTCTTCCAAGGCATGCAGGTTTATTACAACGGGATCAGTCCTGAGGGGGAGAGACCCTCAACGCCGTCTCCACCTCAGTCGGACATGGCACCATTCTCACGTCAGCTGACACCCGATCAACATCGTAAAAAATCAACGACGTCCAGTAAAATTGTGGTCGCTGCACCAGATTCTCCACAAGTGCCTATCGATCTCTTCCAACATGCCTCCTCTTCATCAGTGAAGACTTCAACCTCATCATCATCATCACCATCTGACGTCATCGAATTTGGTCACGTGTATGCCGTAAAGTCAGAGGAGGATGGTTTGTGGTATCGTGGCAAGGTGCTCAATCTCAATTACTCCACTACTAAGAAGGTTTGTTTGTGATTGATGATTGTAGTGATGATTTTAATGGTGGTGCTGGAAGCGATAGATGGTGAGACAGATGAGCATATTTTAATTTTTAATAATAATATTGATGATTTTGTTGGTTGTTGACGCCATTGCATATAATATTTATAGTTGTAGAAATTATGATATTAAATAATATACATGTACGAAACGACAACAGATCTTAATAAACTATGTGGACTTTGGACATCATGAGACGTTCAATTCCGTCTCGAGGAACATGAAGTTTCTGATCGATGACTTCAGAAGACTTCCCATGCTGTCATATGAATTCAAGTTGGCCGGTGCGCACATGCCGGCTAATCCTTCTGAACGCCAACTCTACAACAGGATCTGCCACAAAGTCTTCAGGTCAGTCACTCAACTGACTGCTTACTTTTTCATTTCTAATCTGTTTGCTGTTAGAAAGTTTTTTTCATAATTTCAAGATTGAAAATGTTCTTTTTGCGTTATAAGACTAATATATTTTGACGTTTTCAGATGTTTTCTAACGGATTCTAGAGATCTTCTGAACCCTGCTGTCTTGTTGGAGACCTCACTCAGTCAACTTGATCACCATGTTCACGATGCTGATGATGTGCATGTGCCTTTGCTCGTTCATTACTGAAACATGCTGGCATGACATGCATGCACGTATCCATTGAACTTTATGCTCAATATGTGTAACAGTTATGTAGAAACATGTTAACTATATATATATGTTGGTGCGTTTCCACGTGTGTTGTTTGTCTATGTATGTTTGTGTGTTACTTTATATTTCTGAGATTTGAGTTTTTTCCATGTCGATTAATGCTGTTTAGTATTTCTAGTTTTTTTTTTAAGTTTTTCTCAGCTCTTTCACATTTCCATCCGTTATGAATCTTGCATGTACAGCTTGTTTGTGTGTCTGTAAGTCTGATTGTACGTCTCTGTTTGTTTGTGCGTCTCTGTTTGTTTGTGGACATCTAAGTTACGCTGCGTATTGCATTACATCCAGTATTACCTACCTACTACTCTATCATCTTTTTCAGAAAGTGTTTTCCAAGTTTTTTTTACTTATTAAATTTTTTAATGTGTTTCTTTAAATTTAAAATAATTTTCCAGAATTGACTTGAAACGATTAAATTAATTGTCACATTGGTATAATTTAAATTCTCCGATACATACATACATTCAAAAATTAAATATTACCCTTATCGTTGCTTTCTATATATATTTTTGTAATTATTTTAATGACGTGGAGGTCCTGCTTATATTTGCCGCTTTAAATTTTATTGGTAACCCTGCTATTAACTTAAACATTTACTTCTTTTTATAATTCAATTAATTAATTAATTTAATTAATTAGCGGTTTTATAATCGTTTGAAATGTTTTCATACATTTTAGTCAGTCAATATATATATATGTATATATATTTTTGTAATTTTTCTTTACAAAACTTGCTTTTTCTTTTTTTATTATCTGCATTTCTTTTTCATTTTACTTTTTTAATTTGTTCTTTTGGCGCTTTTATTCTTTACTAGTACGACTGCCCTGCTACTTTTTATCTGCGTTCCATTTTTTTACTAACAGTTCAACATAGAAAACCTGTAATGTAATTGGAAACCTATCAAGTGCGTGATAAAGGCGATAACGTTTAATGTGATGATAACGTGTACCATAATCATATTTGTCATTGCGTTGATTTGTCATATTGCTATCGTCAGTAATAATTAGTATTAATATTATTATTACTGCTCTATATGTAGTAGTGATGTATTAAATTAAAGAGTTTGTTAAATGATCTATTCTTGGTAGTCAATGGTCAAGTTATTTTACTAGCGGATGAACAAAAGTCTAGTTGCTGTAAAGTAGTCTAGTTGCTGTAAAGTAGTCTAGTTGCTGTAAAGTAGTCTAGTTGCTGTAAAGTAGTCTAGTTGCTGTAAAGTATTCATAGTAATTTTAGTGGTATCATGGTTGGAGTTGATGTAGTACTAAAGTCGTTTGTACTAATTGGTCATGATAGTATGGAATATGACAAATTGTTAATTGCTAAAAGGATTGTTGTAATTGAATCTGTAATGTTTATACTTGTTATAGCACTGTAATGATGAGTGCCTGTTCATAGGGTGTTAAGAGTGATAGTTGAGTTGAGGTTGTTTTTTTTATTTCATTTGTTTCTTGGTGTCATTTTTTTTCTTCAAAACTTTGCCATGGTTCTATATCATTAAAAACAGATGTTAAATGTTTTTTTTACGCAATTTGATTACTGTTATTGTGTTTGCAAATTTGGTGAATGATTTGGTTAGTTTGTTGGTTGAATAAATTCGGTTGGTTGGTTGAATTTTGGGTGTCTGGTGCTAAATTGAGTCACATTTTGCCATCACATTATTATGGACTGTGATGAGTATGATGATGGTGAAGATGATTGTAATTATGAGTGTTGTGTTCATTATATTTCATCTGCAAGTTTCCAACTTTTTTTCTCATCATTACCTTCCAGTGTCTTTCTTCATTCTGTCCGAGGTTTGATTGCAAAGGCTAATGTAAATTTTGTATATAATTATAAAGTATATATGAGATACAAGGTAAATGGACAATTACAGCGTAATTTTTCACTAAATTCGAGGGCTCATTTCTATTATAATATTCTCCCAGTTTTGTTGTAATATCAACATGATGACGAGTTTTGCTCTTTTAATAAAAGACATCAGATAAATAAAATGTTCTTGTTTTAATCTGAAAAGAATAACAGTGAAGTGTAACGTAATTATCGAGCTTAACAAGCTGAAAAGCCGTAAGAATTTGAACGAACGAACGAACAATCGATAGTATCATGGGATGGGCCGTACTCAAACCAGCTAACCAACCGCTTCCTTTTACGTGTCTATTGCAATCTGAACTTGAATTTGAACGAACGAACGAACAATCGATAGTATCATGGGATGGGCCGTACTCAAACCAGCTAACCAACCGCTTCCTTTTACGTGTCTATTGCAATCTGAACCTCCAATTGTTACAAGCACACTTAATATACATAGTTGGAACAAAAACATTCAACGTTTATTTAATTTTTTATTGTTCCTCAACAAAAGTTGTAAGTTTTTGGTATAGTGTCTTATGCGATAGTAGCTACTTGAAAGTGCACTCTTGCTGCCCAGGTTGAACTCTTTGCCACTGAGCCACTGTTTAACAACGTAATGTGAGACGAAAAGTCATAATGTACACAAGTAAGATACCCTTAAATTGTTTTTCTGGGGCATGAAATTTGAGAAACAACAATTTTCGCTACTCTTTTCAATAACCGAAAATTTATTACAATAATATAAATACCTTCTGAAGTGAACCCCATAAACATTTGCAGAATGAACAGTAAAACTAAAAATGAACAAAATATAAGGAAACAAAAATTTATTGAAGGGCATCTGGGCTGTAGTGTCCAATCTAAAGAAATGATTTCCAAGAGCTGTTTGACAGAGCTTCCAAATAGCCCCAACATTGCAAATCTACAATAAACACGAATTAAGGGTTTTATCATTTTTATTATTTTTATGATTTCAAGATAATCCCTTACACTGAAGCAATCGCTTTACCAAAGAACAAACAAATTAAACAATTGTATGAAAATGGCGCGAAAATGGCCATCATTTAAAAATCGCCATTGAAATATTGTATGAGAATAATAAGTAAAGGTTTGTTATAATTAATGTCGCTACTTAAAATATAAAATAGGCAATCACAGTACGTAAAAACGATATCTATTATTATTATTATTAACATTACTATCATAACATAAAATAATAATTATTATTATAGTTAATACAGTTTTCAATTATTATTATCAATAAACTGCTCGATGCACGAACTAATTAGTTAAGAGGATAAAATAGAACATCGTTAGTTGAAATTTAGGTGATATTCGTGAAGGCTGTTAGTGTTAATGTCGTTAGTGCTGTTGTAAATGTAATCAGTGTAGCAACAATTTAAGGTTATCAAAGGTGATCACAAGGTAATGGTGATCACAATGTATATCATTTAAAAACAATAAAAATAAAATTATGTCACTGGATATTTTCGGTGTTTTCATGTAAAACAAGATACTTAACGTATAAGATAACGACGCATTAATACGTAATCATCTTCACCATCAACAGCATTATTACTGCTCTCATTGGCATCATCATCGTTATCACCACCTTCATCACCATGTTTATCATCATATTCATCACCCAAACCACAACGTTACAATCATGTGATGAAATTGTAAAGATTTATCTTACGAATTGTTGCTACACTTGATACATTTAACAAAGCACTTAAGATTTTAACACTAAACAGCTTCACGAATTATACCTAAATTTTCAACTACGATTTTTCATTTTTATCCTCTTAACTAATTAGTTCGTGCATTAATCTTACGAGAAACCGGAACTCAGGGCTGAATCCGTCCCATTCCTAATTTTTATAACGTATATTAAGCAATGGCAAATAAATAATAATAATAACAAAATACGTAAACGTACTTAAATAAATAAAAATTATAGTAACAACCCTAAAAATAATAATGATAATAATAAACGACGACGACGATGATGATGATTAGTGCATCTTGTTGATCTCGAACAAGGTCGTTTCCACTTCCTCTTCAGAATCAATCACAGGTATAGCGCTGAACAAAATTATGAAAAAAAAGATGATGGAAATTATTATTTCGTAAGTCTCTTAATTATTTCAACACACATAACACACCCAGACACACACACACAAACACACACACACACACAAACACACACACACGCACGCACCTTTTCAAAGACTTGGGAATATTATCTTCAACCCATTTCAAAGGATCGTCCTTAGTAATATAAATACAATAGCGTTATTACACTATGATTGAATAGCGTTATTTATTAATCAATAGCAATTAATGTTTACTTAGTAAACCATAAAATTAATAATTATCGCTCATTAAAATAAACATCAGAACAAATTATCACCATGGGATCTTCTTTCCTTGTTCCTTCTTTTTTATTTCTTTGCTTGACGCCATCTTTAAAATTATTTTTCAGATTAAAAAATTTAATAAGTCATTTTTTCCTTATCCAAACCCAATCAAGCAAATCAATCAACAATGAAATAGCATGCAATCAAATCAATCAACAACCAACAGACAATCAACGACGAGCAACAAAATAGAACAAGAGCCAGTCAAATGAACGACAACAAAACAGAAACAGACAACCAATCAAACAGACAGCCCTTAATTAAACAACCAATAAACTTTCAGCTCACCAAATGCCTCGTTTACCATTTGCTCCTCCATATCATCATCTGCTTCGTCGGCCAAAGGTGAGTAAGCGTATCTTAAAATTTGATTGGTTAATCAAATGAATGACGCAACGATGGAAAGCATGGAAGATGACGATGATAAATAACAGAAGCAGCGAGCAACACACTAGCCAACCAACCAACCAACCAGCCAGCCAGCCGACCAACCAACCAACCGACCGACCAACCGACCGACCGACCAACCGACCAACCGACCGACCGACCAACCGACCGACCGACCAACCGACCAACCAACCAACCAACCTCTGATTAGAAGCAGATGGCCTCCACAGGATGATGATGCAGAAGAGGATAAACATGAAGATGAACGGAGAAATGGCCTCATGCACCCAGATCTGCCAGTTCTGATGATGACGTCATTATAAATAATTGTGACGGTGAAGATGACAAAAACAAGAGGATAAGGAACAAAAGAGCAAACAACAAAGTAGAAAAAGGAAATAAAATTAACTGCACCAACTTGTATGCATGACATTGACCTCCTCAATATGACAGTCCACAAGAGGATGATAAGAGAAACTGTTGGTGATGGTGATGTGATAATGGTGGTATGATAAGATGATACATTACTGATTTGATGATGATGATTGACAAAACGATGATGAAGCTGATAACGGTAATATTATATTCTAACTGAGCATGGCGAACACAAGAACGTATGTGAAATGTTTGTATAGGGACAACTTAACAGGGTTCCTCCTTAGTCTCAATGTTCTCATTGTGTTCATCAAAGATGTTAGTATCTGTTTGTGTGTTTGTTTGTTTGTATGCGTGTGTTTGTTTGTGATAAATAACAACACTAATAACAATTACAGTGTGAACCATGGGCAGTCAAGCAACTGACCCAGTAACAGACGCCAGTGTTGATAGCAGCAAGTAAGATGGCCATAACTTCGTTCTTTACATTGGATACCTTTGAACGTACGTGGTGGTTGCGTGTGATGTTTGTATGTGGTGTTTGTATGCGGTGTTTGTATGTGGTGTTTGTATGCGGTGTTTGTATGTGGTGTTTGTATGTGATATTTGTATGTGATGTTTGCACACGTTGTGCATTTTCTATATATATATACCACAGAGAAGAATTAAAAAAACTCTACTGCTATGAGGTCAATTCGATAATGTTATTAGTGTAATTAGTAAAAATCGACATAAAAAGTAGCACAACACATACATAAACAAACATACACAAACTTGGTTAAAACAACTAAACAATTAAGCAGGCGAAAAATGATGAACAACAACAGAAAATACAAATGAAAAGTGGTGAACGAACAAACTAACTAACGAACAAACAAACGAACGAACCCGATTATATTCAGCCATACTATGAACGAAGGATGCAATGAAATAAACGGCGCCCAGCACCAACACGTAGTACAACGTCTTACCTAACCTAGGTCTAGTAGTAGAAAGTTAAAAAGGGCTTTAATAACTATAGATAATGCAACATCGACATGCAACATCAACACAGCAACATCAACATGCAACATCAACACGGCAACAACATGCAACATCAACACGGCAACATCAACACGGCAACATCAACACGGCAACATCAACTTACTTAACGATACCAAAACCCAAAGCAGCAATGATGACGAGGACTCGAGCTGCTGAATCTTTCAATGAGGAGATCATCTTGCCAAAAAATATCGTTCCGTATGCTGGTTTTGTGAGTTAATAGGTGGGTAGATAGTTATGTGGGATAGGTAGATAGCTGATATCTGAAAGACACTTGCATGAAAATATCGAGAACCACATGTGATGTGATGTGATGGCCATCATCCTTAACGTACTCGTTATAAAAGACACACACATACATAATAACAGTAATTATAGAAAATATGAAATACATTAAGAGGCATTGCTGACGAGAATAAAATAGAAAGGGAAATAAAAATGGAAGTTAGATGAATGGTGATTACTGTTCGCCTGTCCTGTCCTATTCCTGAATTCATACTCAGCCACGAATATCACTTTCTCTAACCAGCCTGTCATTTGTTGGAAGGATCGCCATCATCATCATCATAATTAGCACCACCATCACCATCATGGTCATCATCATCCAGCCAACCAACCAACCAGACAACTAACCAGATAACCAATCATGCATACAACCAACTAACCTAGCAGAATAACAAAAGCAATGTAGTACTGTATTTGAAGGAGATCTTTTCTGTACCAGCAACACAACAGAAGCCAAGACAGCATGTACAATGTGTACACCGCAAGGGATAGCTGGAAAAACTGTTGAACATCACGCACATCATCAATATTATCATCAGTGTCATCTTTATTCATCAGCATCATGTCATAAACATCTTCTTCATCATCCTATCGTTGTCATCAGCATCACATCGCCTAAGCATAACAAACACAACTAACACAACGGTCATCATTATAATTGTCTCCTAAATAACATCTTCATTGATATCATTATAATAGATTTATCCTATTCAAAACAACATCATCTTCATCGTCTCATCATCATCTCATCATCATCATCATCATTTCCCACCAGAAGTAGAGGCCATTCGATGGGACTGAGGTATCCGTAGTAACCATAGACTGTTCGGAAGTCTAAGTAGATCTCTTTTAATGCGTGAATGAATTAATTAATTAACGAACGAACGAATGAATGAATGAGTGACAAAGATAAAATGACGATGTAATGATAACAATTCAGATGAGGATGGCTCTTATAACAACAAAAGACTAAAAAGATGCACTCTCATAAACATATAAATGATATCACAGCACCAAACAAATTAGGAAACAAATATGCAGGGCCGAATTTAAAGGTTAAAGGTCATATAGACTCAGCCAAAGTTCAAAGAGATAAACGACACACAAACAGCCTGTTGGCATAGAACCAATCAAACAATAACATAATGAAGAACGAGGTTAGCAACAAATATAATAAAAAATAAACGAAAACAACTAATTATATTAATACTATAATTAATAATTATATTAAAATATTTTGATTATAATAAAATTATGTTGTAATGCTAAACCAACCATCTGAAAATTTTGAAGAATTGTTTAACTGAAACCAAATGCTATAGACCTTCTCGGCAACAATTTGAAATGTGTATTTCGGTGTTTTGGCCTTTTGTATATATGTATGTATGTATGAACGTATGTATGTAAATACGTATGTATGTATGTATGCA